TAATCCTATCGGTCCAGTCCCACTTGTACTTGAACTTGTACCGCAACAAATAATATTTCGATCGCTTATCGTTAAGTGGTCGTTCCGTCATTCCTGTGTGGCAGGGCCGGGCGTGACCTTGATGTGATCCCTTAGGTGAAGAGGTCGTACCTCGGGTAGATGGCCATTGATGCTCCCTCTTCCCTTTGCCTTCACGTTTGATTTAGTGTGGTCTCTTACTAGGTGATTGTGATATGAGCATCCAGCCACCTGCGAGATATTTGCTTTCCAATATAGCTCTCCAGGCCTTTTACGACCTACGTACACGATGAACAGGAAACCTTCGGAATTCACAATCACGCGCATATTACAGTTCTATTACGCGGCAGCGAAGCGTCGCTTCTGCGTACCGGCATACTGCTGATGCAAGGACCACTAGCTACCTGGACGCCCAAGTAACCGTCCATCCATACATTGTGTTTACTGTCACTCGATTTTGTTGGTGACATTACTTACAGACCTCCACTGCGTGCTAGCTTTTGTTTGCGCTTCAGTTTTACTCTGTTTATACGGTACCAGAGTACTGTTGAGTCTCGCCCGAACATATGACACACAGACTGTCAATCAACGAAAGCCAAGACTTGGGGTTTCCGTTGTGAAATCTCGGGAGACGATAGTGTCCAGGTTGCCTGGGATAAATTTAAGTACTATCTCACATAGATCTTCTCCCCTTCATCCCTGTCACAAAGAGAAAGGAGGCACGAGCACAGTCGCCCAGGATAGATTCCACTGGCAGACATCTGTTCACAGAGGGTCTAAATATTGGCGGACTTCCCAAAACGCTCCATCCACCGATGCTTATGACAGGTACCGTAAGGCTAGAAATAGGCGTAAACAACACCTAAGGAACGCTTGGCTCGATTTCGAGAAAGGGTTAGCAGACGAAGCTTCAGCGAATCCAAAAAGATCCTTCGCATATGTCAAAAGGCGCTGCGGTTCGAACTCGTCAATTCCAATTTCGATGCATGACGACGATACTCATGCTCATACTGACTATGACAAGGTCTGCATACTTAGTGGGAAATATGCAGCAGCATTTGTAAGGGAAACCTCGTTGTCAGGCGTTGAGCTGGTTTGCAGGATCCCAGAGGGTTCGGGCCTATCTGTATTTATTGTTGCGCAGACGGAAGTCCGTAGGTTGTTACCAAGGCTAGGCCCTTATAATTCATCTGGGCTTGAGTTAATTCACCCGAAACAGTTGCATGAGTTGGCTACCGAACTAAGTGGCCCGCTCGCTGTCGTATTACAAAAATCGCTTAACAGCTGTGCATTACCTTCCGAAGGCAAGGTCCCCATCTACGAGAATGGGGACGAGATTCTGCCTACAAATTACAGACCAGTTAGTCTGACGAGTGTAGTGATCAAACTCCTTGAAAAACTTGTGGGAAATTCATTGGGGCGTCATTTGAGTAAATTTAATCTAGTTCGCAATGCACAGCACGATTCCAGAAGGGATATTCGTGTTTGATGAATCTATTGGTAGCTCGCGAAAGTTGCGCGGATGCAATGAATAACGGCCACGCACTGGATGTGCTTATCATCTGCTTTTCGAAGGCTTTTGACACTGTACCCCATTTGAACTTTACGCAAAAGCTGAGTTCTTACGGTATATCTGGTCGCACCTTTCACTGGGTGATTGCCTTCTTGGATAGTAGAGAAGTGTGTGCGGATAGACCGCGGCCCATCGTTTCGACAATCTGTTCTCAGTAGCATACTACTGAGCTCGGTCTTTGGACCGCTGCTGTTCTCTATCTATGTGGACAATCTACCCGCGGAGATTGAGGGACCATCGCTGCTATTTGCTGATGATCTGAAGCTGTGAAGTATTGTCGTTGTTTATGGGGGTTCCGAAACTATCCAGCGAACCTTGGATGGGCTTTGGGACTGGTCTACTTGGTGGTTACTGCCCATTAATTAGGTAAAGTGCTCCGCCCCTCGAATTGGAGGAGGTTGTTTTTCTACGAAGCACTTGGTCATTAGGGTCGAACTTTCCCGGGTATCTAGCCTGGTTGATCTAGGGGTCGTACACTCTTCAACTTGACACTCCGGCGGCAGCTGGAAGAAGGCTGCAAGCAGAGGTCCCGCTTGATTATCTGTTCTCCGCGGTCATTCCATGAAGTTGAACAAACCGCGGTCCTATCGGATTAGGGCTGAAATTCAGCTGTCACGCCGAGTCATCGAGCGCTGGAACATGCTTCCGGAAAGTGTTATCAGGGAATCTACGGTTAAGGGGTTTGAGCAGCAACTTGACTTTCTTGGGTGGCAACACGAAACCTTTCCCTTTTCCTGACTAACTGGCATCTTCATACTACGATGTTCTTTTCTCTACTTTCCTTAATGCATTGGCATTGCCCTCTTATTTCAACTGCACTTTCTTATTCTATACCTTCGATTTCTCTACTTATCCTTTGCTCACTTTACTTGACTGCCACAGCAGGGACTGCTAGGGCAGGAAACGTGGGCATTAATTGGTTGACCAGGGTACGATACGGGTGTTCCGTTTTAGATCCATCAAGAACTCTGAGCACTTTATCAATTTCTGGCTCAACGATCCACACTTGGGGTTCTCCTATCGTTCCAGTCCAATCTGAACTTGAACTTGTAGGGCTCTATGATTTCAGTGTGGGAGATCGCAAGCCGTCAACCTTGCTCCGCTCAATTTAGCACCTCGCTGCTCCCTTGTTCTTGAGCGAAGGAATAAATTAGTTGTGGTTTGCACGTTTCCAAAAGCCATTGTTGGTCATGCTGTCCGTTTCTTGATACGCCCATGAAAGGACTAGCTGCTAAGCAGACGCTGCGTTCCGCAGCAGACGACCAGTAACTTCGGTGACATATTCTCATCGTTAAAGACTGCGTCGTAAGGCCAATCTGATCCTAAAGACTAGGAGATTGCGCTACTTCGCAGAAGGATAACAGCATTGAAAGTTTCGTAGTAGCGTGTGTCACGGTCAGACACTGCCCATCTGTTCATGCACCGAGTACGTTTCGCTCGACACGAAAGCGCAACGTTTCCTCTGCGCTACTGTATTTCGTTTTTCCTCCTTTTTCTGCCTTGGTACTGATAGCGCATTATCTGTAACAGAACTGTGTACGTATGCTTGGTGGCATCCAGATGCTGATTCACCTGTCACTGCGGCCCCCACCAGGACAGCCACAGAACGCCTGCGCCTACAGATAGACCATGGGTGGCTTGCGCTGCACCACTTACAGCTCCATCCACACACTTCATATGCAGTGTGAACCCGATGGAATAGGACCAGGAGGCATGTGAATGAGAGCCACGTTTCGTCAACACAGCCGGCCCGCACTACTTCAAACTGCATGTCATGTAGCTCGTAATGGCACTACGTAAGAGTTGTCTTTAGACTCTTGAGAGTATTGAAGATAATAGATACGGATAGGTGGATTCCGGTCTCACTCAGTTGCTACTACAGCTGCCTCAAAATATCCTCGGTATACTGTTCAGCAGTCTCTTTAACACGCTGCAAGACATCGGGAGTCAGCTTCTCCTCGTTTTTCCTCCACGTTTGCACAGAGTGTTCGTGTCTTCTCTCCAGTAGATAGTGATGATATTACTTGCCCTACTCTCGTTGACTTCGGCGACTTCAACAGCTTCGTGAGTGGTTTTGCCGTGGACGAAGACAAGCTTGGTGAGGACATCATTTGCTGATGACGTTCTTTTGCACCGTCACTGCCTCAGAGTTGCGTTTTCTCGTTGCTTATTTTGGGCGTTTCATGCAGCACAAGTCTTATGAAGCTATGTTTGGTTTGCTGGATTCATGATAGCCTGCACTTATTCAATAGTCAAGCAGCTACATAGTTTCACACACACACCCAATCAGAATACACGAGCGCCCATAGAGGGACAATTCGATCACCGCCTATCTTCTTCATCACTTGCTGTTTAATTGATCGAATTGGCCAATGTTTACTTCAATGGGAATCGCGTTCCACATCGAGATTACGCAACACAATCCATTCACCAAACGAGTGCTTCACAACGACCCTACAAATCTAGGTAACATTTATTTAAGTCATAATAGACTACGTGATTTGAGTCTGACATCCCACTGACTCATGCGAAATGGCACAGGCATATAGACTACGCGAGGGTCAATGTGGAGAGAGGGGAAACTTAATCACCGCCTTTGATCGGGGTTCACGATCAAGAGAAGGGTTTGGTGGCACCCGCTGCTTACACAATTCAGTTGCATTAGCATGACCACAGTGTGATCAGAAAATCGTCCAGTGGTCCTACTCCTCATTTCTTGCTACAAACTTGCTGATTTTCTGCTGTGTCCCATTTAGTATGCAAAATGTCCAAAATGGCTAGCAAAGCGTCCGATATGATTTGCAGAGCGTTCAGTTTATAGTAAATGTTATATAGTTGGAAGCATCCGGTTTCGGATTTGCCTGTCACTGTGGCCAGCCACAGGACGCCTGCGCCTACAGAGGGACCATGGGTGGCTTGCGCTGCACCACCCACAGCTCCAACCACACACCCCATATCCAGTGTAAACCCGAAGGAAGAAATAATAGTAAATGTTATATATATATATATATATATATATATATATATATATACAATCGTTATTAACAGAACGACGATGTGCTACTGATGCTAAATCTTAAAATTGTCTGCTTAAACTAACCATCCCGTGATGCGTGTTACTCACACTCTGCCCCCGTCATTTTCAGAAATTACCTTAATCTCTAATGTCAGAATTCTGCACCTGTTCTCAGATTTGCAAATTTCTGGATTTGCGATCTGCTGCAGCCGGCAGCATCTGTGTGATAACTGTTTCGGCCGAAGCACATTTGCTACAGAGGACTGCTATGCCACTTGTGTCCGACTCCCTCAGATCTTTACCGACGCTTCCAGTCATTTGAGTATTGTTTGCAAACGGCGTTTCATTTCACCTGAGTTCTTTTTCTGTGTCCTGTAAGACCTACTTGTAATCATGGCGAGCTTCCTCCTATCATTGGGACACTTCGCACACGTTTTCCTTCCCTGTTTCAGACAGATGGAAGCGTTCGTGGCTGACAGCGAAGGCGATTCTCTCATCGCGAATGTGAATATTGCAACCCTTTCAGATGTTGGACAGCGTCGGAAGCCATCGCAGTTGGATTTCGAAGACACACATGCGCTTCGCGTACGCGACACCTTCGTGGATTTCCCGTATCCTGTGATATATCCCCAGCAGCTTGCTCTTATGAAGACTATTTATTCTACTCTGGTGCATCGTAAATGTGGGCTTTTTGAAAGTCCCACTGGCACTGGGAAATCTTTAAGCCTTTTAACAGCTGCGTTACGATGGTTACTCGACTACAATTCACAAATCCCCACACGAATTCAGCATTTGATGGCATCCCTCAGCGATCAACAACCGGCGTCAAACGCTTGCGAGATGGATTGGGTTTCTGCGTATGATCGGTTAAGAATAGCCAAGCGTCAACTGGAACCAGAAATAAATCATTTGACACGAATTCAGTCCTGTTTAGATAGCATTGCTAATTTAAAAGCCTCTAATCTGCGCCCGTTACCTGCCGAATTCGTTCAGATGACAAACAACTTGAATGAGAACCTTCAGAACTCTTCCTTACTCTATCCGCTCTCAAGAGATGAATGTTTTGGCACCGAATTGACGGATGAGGAATTTCTTTTGCCGGAATCAGAGGAACCCTTCGAGGAACCAGTTGCAACTGGAGAACACAATTTACCTCGTATCATATACTGCAGCCGCACTCATTCACAATTAACGCAATTGCTGGATGAACTGGCCAGATGTCCTACCCTAGCTGACAAGATAACGGTAGTACAGCTGTCGTCCAGACAATCACTCTGCACAAACAACTCAGTATATCGATTGTCCCATCCTGGCCTCATTGATGAAGCGTGTTTAGAGCTGAAGCGTTTAAAAAATCGGTGTCCCATGCGAAATATGGATTTAGTTAAAAGCTTATCTAACTACTTACTGGCTGGTGCTCGGGCCTCTGAAATTGCTTCGGCCGTTCGTGAGGGACGCTTTTCTGATCTATTTGGAAGTCAAACAAACAATCTTCGAAGTGAAACGAAAGAACTTGCCTCAGTTCGCATCGGTTGTCCGTATTACGCAGCACGCCGCAGTCTCCCGCTGGCCCAATTGGTTCTTATCCCTTATGCCTCACTTTTGCAACCAAAAACTAGGGTGGCTTCTGGGCTGTGTCTCCGCGATGCTGTTGTGATTGTGGATGAGGCACATAATCTTCTGGACGCCACAACATCGTGTATATCTACTTTGCTACAGGCGTCCGATCTCCAAAATACTCTGGATGTCTTCCGAGCCTATCAAACACACTATCGTACACGGTTCTCTGCACTATTATCACTCCGGTTGCGTCAGTTAATTCACTTCAGCCAACAGCTACTCTCACTTCTGAGTTCTGGCAAACGTGCCGAAGTGCCAAGTGTTCGCATTGTCACTGTGTCTAAGCTGCTTGCTGAGGCAGATGTGGACAATGTGAGTTTGTTTCAACTTATTGATTGTCTACGAACGAAGCATTTCGTCACAAAACTGGCCGGATTCGCTAGATGGTATTCCACCAAGTCCTGTGCTTCTTTGTCTCTTCGACCCCCTCTGAGTCACGGTTCTTCCTCCGGAATGCGGGGTCTGCTTGCAGGGATGAAACGCAACTGTCCAGACACCACCAGTCTCTCTACATCTAGAGTAAGTGTATCTATACATTTCCTTGAGTGCCCTTCCCTGGTGAACTTCCACACCTTACTGTTCGGTGTAACAATTTAATTCGGCCCAGTGAGTAGCCAAAAGTTTGAGAACTGACGTTCGGTCTGTACAGTTGCTACTGTCGTAGAACTCGGTCCTTCAGAGACAAATGATTTATTGGAAAAAGCCAAGAAGCTGAAATAGACAACATTCCTCGTCCTTACAGCGTGATATATATATATATATATATATATATATATATATATATTTGGCACAGTTCAACCGATAGTTTCTTGTCTACTCCAACCGACGATCGTCATGTCCAGTCTGCGGAGCTTGGCGCAGGCAATAGCCGAGGTGGTTCTGTCCGCATCTGGGCGGCTACTTTGTAGGTCTCGCTGGTCATCCTTCTGATCTCATCACCACAGATACCCTTAACCCAAACAACCGTGACAATAATAAATAACAATACTGGACAAATTAAGTCAGCAAACGAGTGCTTACTGGAGACTTTTAGTGGAAACGTGTTGAAAGTCGTACTCAAAATAGAAAGGCCAATAGCTTATTGTCACCAACAAGTAAGGAGGACTTGGTAGCACCACTGCAAGATGATGATGTGCTGTGCGTGTGAAATCATGCAACCACTAGCCTACATACACTAAGTGGGTAGTTGCGCTAGATCTCTTCTCGCGAGGATTCCATTTTCTACCTAGACGTATTAAGTTTAAGGAAGAATTCATCCTCTGATAAGCAAGTAACTGACTCATTGGTCGCTTCAGGCTTAACTGTTTGAGTGAACTATTCAGAATGGGTTCACAATGGTGTTAATAGATTGGTAGCTAATCAGTATTTCACGACGTTCCTCTACTTTATGTGGGTGACAGGATCTTCTACCTTGCCGCCTCACTTGAGGGCGTCGCAGTTGTCAGGCAAGAACAGTGTACTGCTTTTCTTACGATAACGTTTCTGTGTTCGTTGAGACATTCCGAAAACTCACATATCAAACACTCGCTGATATCTTCAAAATTTTACACTCGGATTGTGGTCTTTAGATTCTGTTCGATGTGTTGTTTTATGTGTCCCGTTCGCTGCATCACTGTCTCCAACCTCGTCACTATACCACCGGATACTAGTTTGTACTATTTTATCTCTTCTATTCCCGCGATTTCTAGCCTTCTCAGTCGATCCTGTCGGAGGTGAATACTAACTCCGTTGAACTTCTGACTCGCGATGGCCGCATCGGCATGGAATCCAGCAGTTCTGCCCTCTTCAGGTTCAAAGACTTTTTGGAGGCCATTAATTCGCCGGAAGATGATGCCCGCATCGTTATTAGCCTCAATAACCAAAACGAAGTTGATTTTGCGCACTCATCAGCCAAGGAGCCATCGTTCTATTTTACGATCTTAAATCCCGGAAAGTATCTCCGAGGTACATGCGTCGTATGCCAATTTCCTTATGTCTGTTGCGACGCTTCTTCACATATCCCTGTGAAAGTTAAATGGATCTGCTCAGTCTTATGTCTACTGTCGCAAATTACGTATACGTCTTATTTGTTGCATCTATACGACAGATAATCGAAATTGACCAGTGATTTGCATCCGGTTGTCTTCCCACCTTAGAATCTTCAGCACATCCTTGCTTCATTGTCCCCTGATGACATAGAACTCGGTTCTGCCCATGTCCAACGCTTGTGCAGCACTGCTTAATCACTATATCGCTAATGTTCCGTCAACCTGTCTGTCGACTTTGTTTGCTCCTAATTGCCTTATATGTTCCTCTGTTTCACACTGCATTTATAGATTTAGTCCGGGAATCTCGATGTCTTTTGCTCGCTGGTGGCACAATGCAACCATTTGACGACTTAATTGAGCAGGTTTTCCTGCCAGCCGATCTACCGATGGATCGGATAACAACCTTCGTTTGCGACCACGTCATTAATCCTAGCAAACAGTTAGCTGTTTACCCCGTTGCAAAGAGCCCCGTTGGGAATGCTCTTCAGTTCACCTATCATGTAAGTTGTATAGCCATTCGCCTGAAGCAACTATTTTTCATACTAATATATAAATTAATTATTTGGCGCACACCATCCCCATCGCAATCGCTTCTTTGATAGCGTTGATTTCTGGTTTAACTGGTGACTAGACTTGTATAGACGTATCTAGCCAAAAGTTGCTGCTAACTTGTTATCACTTCTCCATAAATTTTGGAGTATGCCCCACCGTCCCATTATCCAACTTTAGGTGTTGGTGAGATCTTCAGGAAAAACTAAGTGGATCTGGTTAATCCATAACTTATTGGCATGCCTCACGGTAATCAAATGGATGACCCGGTTCATCATTCTCTTACTCTTGTTTTGAGCACCCTTCTATCAATCCTCGTCACAATGTAAATGAACTAGTTTCCTTCCGGAAGTAGGTTCGGTTTCTTCCTTATCCATTATCTTAAATCCTTCTTCCGTTAACGCCCTTATTTGTTTTGGTGTGTACAGCTAATCTATCGGTAAGCGATGCAATTTCTTAACTCCATCCGGTTGTTTTCCTCTTTTCATACCTTGAAACTTTTTGCACTCCCTTGGGTTAACTTCACATTCGAATTCCATTCCATATGAATATGTTCGTCACCGTGCGCAACTGAAATCTGTTTGCAACACGCTACAACTTCTGATGCAATCTGGCTGATAAATGTGGGGATCTTGTTGGACTTGCTCGTCATTGTTTCACGAGGACGTGCGTTTGTTGTCGCTGGGTTCAACATTACTTGGCTTTTTATGGAAAGTATGACAAATGACTATTTTGAGCGCTGACCGGTAGTTTGCCTTCGCACACTCTCTAAGCAAGGATACCATGATGTCCAGCCAGGTCTACTTTATCCTCTGCCCTGAGGCTATCGAATTTCGAGGAATTGACTATTTTGCTCCTATGTAAGGCGCGGGAGCTTCTACTTGTGGTACTGTAGGACGTCATGTAAACGGGCACTGGGAATCCGACGGGTCAGTAAACCCAGATTGCTCGAGAAATATATACTCGATGCCGAGGTATCTGTGGAGCAAGGTTGGCTACATTTCTTATCACTGAACTCCACAACAAATATGCCTGATCAGCGTCGTACAGTGTACCAAAAATTAGGCACCTTGACTCTGAGTATTCGTTTGCTGCGCTGTGTTACACGTTATGTTGGTTTTCATTCCTCTTTTTGTCCTCACTATCAGCGGTTTCGTTTCTCAATTTATAACTGTGATTGCTGTGCGTCAACAACGAGTACTGACGTTTTGTTGCTTCAGTACACGTCGCTGATGATAATGATGCTACGGTCGGCCTGCAGTATATGATTTTGCACACATTTTAGCATCGATGCCTACCCTCCGTGATGGACGATTGCGGTGACATAATCCTTCAAATTTGTGCGCATACACCAGGTGAGCTAGCTAACCTCTATATTTCCGTAGTTGGCCTCTTGCCCGCATTTTTTACCCCCATAGGGTTGGCCGATGTGATGTCGGACACATAAGTATACAACCTACTCACGGAAACCCATGTGTTATTCAATTCCAGTCTTTGCTGTTTAAAATGCAGCCCACTGTTCTATCGGGCGCCTATTTTATTTGTGAAACACACGCTTTATGTTTTATTGATTTGTGAAAACTTGGCACAAGGATGTATGTCATTCGGATGCCGGTGTGTTTCGGACAAAGCCCAAATCTGACCCAGCTGTTTCGGTGCATCAGCATAGCCGCAACTCTAGGTGATGTTAAGTTCCTGTATGCTAACCTGCATTAAGATATGCCAGTTGATTTCCATTCAGAACTCACTTTACAACGTGAGGAGACGGAAACTACATGTCGTCACAATTTGACAGCAAGACCGCAGCCCTTTTCCTTTGATTTTCTGAATACGGTCATGTGCGTTCTACTTTCGCCTACTAATGCCGTCGAATTTCATCGTGTATACGTTGAAGTTTGCTCGAGTCCAATTATTTGGCTTGATGACTATTTTTACTTCAGTTAATCGCATCCGTTTACTTTGATGATTGATTCTCGAGGCTGTGTCCGTCTCCAGGGTCGACGTTTCCTTGAGTTAAAAAAGCCATGTGGAGTGTCTGTGCCACCGTACGTCCCTCTTCTTTTTAGCCCTTTAATGAAAAGCTTTTCCTGCCTTACACCACTTTTAAAGTAAAGGTTCCACCAGATATCCCACTATCAAATTTAGGGTACGCAGATGATGTCGCTATGCTATTGCTATGCAAACGGCCCTGAATAAACTGATACACGGTACTGTATTTTTTCATGTCTTCATGTTGCGAGCTACTGTTGCAGGACAGGGTCAATAGACCATCATTTGTCAAGATCACCGAACATTCATTAGATGGTGTCGATGGGTGATGTTTGCATCACCGAAAAGGTCATCGCACACATTACTTAGGTTTGTGCGGCTTATCAAGTTTTCCTCTATCGCCTAGGGGACAGGTGGATGAGCCCGTTCGTTAAAGAGACTGTACACCGGTGCAATGCAGCTACTGTTGCTTCACGAATCAGATGTTATCACTGGGCGCTGTAGACACTGGAATGTTGGTCGTGTTTGCCACCTGATTCCTGGCAAGCACTGCTCATGTCTGATAGCAGTAATCAACGTCTGATATTAAAATTCTTTATTCGCTGTTTTCCGGTGCAGCTTCTGTTGATGCATTAATGATGCTGAACTTAAACCGCTTCTTTGTCTATGTATGTGTGACTATGGCTCACAGAGGCTTGCATTGGCGAGATTCCTACAGATCGCCTACCCGCCGCTGGTATTGTTGTGCCGTAGATTCATGTCCTGGACGACTCCTTGTGGCGACCACTGGGTGGGCCTTGGGTTATACCCTTCTAGCCAGGAGCCAGGACACAAACAATTTCGCGTGAGTCGTTTCACTGACTCATGGTGCACGGCCCGCTGCCCTTCGGATGTACATTTTATCGAAGGCTTTGGTAGAGGACCCGAGCCATTCTTCTCGTAGGTGTGGACGCTCTGGCAGTATGCCTCCGTGAAAAGTGCTTAACATCAGGTGCTTGAATGTGCGCACCCTGCTCGACCGGAACACGAGTGGGCGTCCCGAGCGACACACTGTACTGGTCGCGACGGAACTCGTGCGCTAAGGGATCAACATTGCCTCACTCAACTGGACACTGTTCGCTGACCAAGACAGGCTGCATAAGAGTGGTGCTGGCTTCACTCTCTGCTTGATGGAGAACACCATCTGAACGCCACATCAACATGGGGTCAGATTTATTCTACCCGACCGCCTAAATAGCCAGCTTGTTGCAGAGCCGACTGGCATCAGCCCATGACTAATGACGGTTCGCCAGAGACTTGTAGGAGGTAAGTTTGCCGCCATGTGTTGTCCTGATGACACGAGGGATCCCTTTTAGACTCATCTATTTTACATGTTACGGTCTATGCGGGGGAGCGACCGGCTACTGGGTGATTTTAACGCACGCGTTGGGCGTGATGCTACGGTGTGAATAGACGTTATCAGTCCGTATGGTATTGACTCAGTCAACGGGAACGGTGACCAGCTGCTCTCACTGTGCGCCGCCCACGGCCTGACAATCACGAACACACAGTTTGCACTGTGTGCGAGTGATATAGCTACTTGGATGCACCCACGGAGTGGTCACGCTCGTCTGCTCGATTATGTCAATGTACGTTAGCTTGACATGCGTGAAGTACGTATGACACGTGTACTGCATGGAGTTGAGTGTTTCACTGGTCACAACTTGATGCGGAGCAAATTGTACATATATTTTCATAAATCTATGTATTACACTTCTGCTGTGCCTTAGTGCAAACTTGTCTTCCTTTCTTTAGGTATTGTTGAGAATATGATGCTGGAGAATGCGATGGTTATCCGCATTGTAGATGTTGATTTCATCACATCAGCAGGCTACCTTTCGTGCCACATTCGTAAACAGGGGACGGCTGTAATCGACGAAACGATCCGGCGCACGAACAGTAAGCGGCCTGATTGGTTTGATGACAACAGTGCGACCATTGGCGCATTGGTGTCGGCGAAAATGCAGCTTTCGTTGCTCATGTGCTGGACCCTGCCGACTCGGTAGAAGGAGTCATTTAGGCAAACTTCGAATCAAATTGCACGGAGAAGGCGAAGCAAATAACTGATACGCCGGACGTCGCCAGCATAAGGAATTCTTTGACTCCTTGTAGGCGGTGTATGGACACAGCTTGCAGCCGATGAGGACGCTACTCGATGCTACTTCATTCGTTGCCTGCACACAGATTGCGGACAGAATGTAGATCCAGCAAAAGTAATTCGACTGTCTCTTGAACGACCGTTCTGTGATTGACTGGGATAAGTTATCTTGCCAATACACCGACACTGTTTGAGATAGAGAGGGCATTCGCTCAGCTACGAAACGGCAAGTGCACCGGAGCCGACGACATAACGCCAGAAGTATTGAAACACGACGGACCCGCATTGATGCATGCGCTGCACCATTTTGGATTGTGGATTGAGGACGAAGTACCGGCCGATCTGAAGGATGCTCTTGTGCTACTACTGTACAAGGACAAATGAAGGAAAGTAATGTTGCACGAATTATCGTGGTATCAACTTGCTCTTGTGTGCGGAAGGTGATCGCCCCAATCCTGCTCGGCTACCGCTCCACTCACGTATTTCGACCACACATTGCAGAAGCGTCATGTGGATTCCGTTCGGACCACAGCACCATGTATATGGCGCTCGCGGCTCGTTAGCTACAAGAGAACTGCAGAGGACGACACTAGAAGTTGTACTCGCTGTTTATAGACTTCACCAAAGCATTTGACACGATGAACCGAGAGACATAGTAGTTGGTGTTGGGTAAGTGTGGTTGTCCGAGTAAGTTTAAGTTTACTTGAATGTCTGTACAGTGAAAGCGGGCAACGGTGCGGCTGTGTGGACAAACCTCGGATGACTTTGTTGTTGTCTCTGTTGTGAATCAAGGCTGTGTCTTAGCCCGTCCTGTTTAATATCTACATGCAGTGATGTCCTATCCTTCTGATACTGCTTACGATTACGGTGTCCGTACCTTACCGATGGTGGGTTGCTGAACTTCCGTCGTTTCAGGGCTGGAGCCCTAGTGTGTGGTACAACCATCCTTATGTTGCTGTTTGCTGACAACTGTGCGTTGTTTGCACACAGCGCGGATAACTTGCAGCTCATGACTTTGGCTCTTGCTTCTCATCAGCACAAACAAGACAGTTTGTGTTTTTCAGTCTACACCAGAAACGGGGTCCGTGTGCTTGCCGGAAATCGACTTTGGTGATCTCGTTTTAGAAACCACCTTCCGATTTTGCTACCTTAGGCATGTAATATCTCCCCATCTGCAGATGACGAGCGAACCGCGTATCGAAGGCGGCTGGCGCATTTGGAAAGCTGTAGTGTGGGGTCTGGAATCATCACCAGCTGACCCTTGGCACGAAACTGATGGGATACAAGTCTATGGTGCTGTCCATTTGGCAGTGAAACCTGGACGCTTTATCGGAAGGACATACGTTGTTTGAATCGCTTCCATCAGCAGCGCCTGCGTGTCGGATTCCGTGCATCGACTGGGGTGGCCGAGCTGCTGACACGAAAGTGCTGTGCCGCAGTGGCATGTATGCAGTGGATTGCATACTTCTGCTGCTACACCTGAGGGAGCCGGGGCATATCAGCGGAGTGTATTGAATTCGGATACCGAAGCAGCTGCTATTATGGACAGTTTAGTGCAGGGAAGCGGCACGTTGGAAAACCGAACTTATGTTACTGGGACATTATCACGGTGTGTTTATCACGAACTAAAGTTGCTTTTAGCTGTTGGGGAATGATGGCAGTTGCTTGGCGCCAATGGGCAGAGCTGACCAGAGTGGCGGCAGCTCAAGTGCAGTGGAGATAACTACTATATGCAGAAGAGAAATGTCGGTTGAACAAGTGACGCGCCAAGGGATTCTAGTCCATTGACGTCAAGCGGATGGTGCCGTAGCACATGTGGTCGTAAGTGCCTCAGCCAAGTCGGTATCGTAAGTCATTTGCATGGCCACGGAGGGCCAAACTGTAAAAGAAAGCGAATAAGCTAAGTATGGAGTATTTAACTATGTATACTGCGCTTGGTATGTACGCTTATTCGGATTCAATCTACTTACCCAGGCCAATAATGCGGCCGATATGGTTCGGGTGATACATCATCGCTGCATTTGGGCTGTATATGTGCATGCGAGTTTGGTTGCTTTCATTTCAGGTGTTCGTTACTAATTGATATTCCCGGTGGGGCTTCGCTTGTTGTATATGTTGACAAGGTGCCTACTCGTCTAACATCCTCCACTTCGATTAATAGCTCTGGGAAGACGGGATTCTCCGTTTTCGTGATTGTGTTAGGCTCAAAGAGTGGTTCCATCTTGTGTA